CCTCTTTCAGGTTTCTGCCACTTCTCCTTGATCATGTCAGGGATACCCTTCCTGTTAGACCTTATTGTGCCACATGCATATGTATTCCTCTCTAATAGGGTGTTTAGTAGTGGTGGCGACGTATAGTAGTTGTCAAAATAGACATGGTACCCCTGATCTTACAGATTGTCTAAAAGGAGTATGACGACATCATAGGGTAGGCCATGCTCTGTAATCTCATTCTGTTTCCCTGTGTATATGTTAAAGTCAATGGTATATCCTGATTTAGATTCGGCAAGGACAAACAATTTCAATCCAAATTTACACGGTTTGTCGCGGATGTACTGCCTCATCCCACTGCGGTGTTTAGATTTTACCATCCTTTCATCTATTGAAATGTTGATATCAGATTGATAGACTGTTGTAGAAACCTGTTTAATTTGATCTACCAGCCATCTGACCTTGGTAAGTTTATCATTTGGATCCTCGTGTCCTGGATCTGATATGTGCAGCATTCCGCACACTTAGACCCTTATAAAAAAAAAAACCATTTTTTCCGAAATTCAATGGTTTCATTGCATATCATGTAACCATCATTTCTACCTTGAAGATCAAAGGAAAAATCATTATTTCAACCTTTAAAAACCATTGCGCAACCATTACTGCACCCAATCTTTTCAACCCTTTTTACATAAAGTTGCAATGGTTACGCAACCATTTTTGAGAAACCATTGCAAAACCATTACAACCATTACCAATTGAAATAAACAGTTACAATTGATTGCAACCATTGATGGAGAACTGCAACTGTTGTAATCATTAATTCTGGAAATGAACACTCATGGGTAGACCCGTAGCCAGCTTTTGCACTTTTTAAAAATTTCCAAAGGAATTCACATTTGGCCAAAATCACTTGAGAAGTGATCAATATGGTGAAAAACTGCATGATTTGAAATACTTTTGGCCAGGGTGAACTGCCCCTCCCCTCGAACAACCCTGTTTACGAGCCTGGAGGACAATGATAACTTTTAAATTTTAAATACTTTCTCATTTAATCATTAGAGCCCTCTCATCAGGAATGCAGTACCCAATTAAAATCTGACACAAAAATATTTAAGGAGCATTTCAAATCCGATCTCTAAAACATTATATTTATACATTACACTTATTTGTATATACCATATAAGCTTATCCCTAGGATCTTAAACACATTTCTTTGGCCAAATCACTTATCGGGTATTCGTTTTTTAGGAGACTGAATACTGATGGAATCTTGTAAGAAAATAAAGATTCTTTTTTGTTTCAATTCAATTTTGTTTAATTTTGCAGGCTTTTTTTCATTTAGAATATTGTAAAAATACAAGTTAAGATTTTACATTATTGAATTCAGATAAGGTACCAAGACAGAGCAGCAACAGTTACACAGACAGAGCGGCAACGGTTGAAATGCTAATTATAACCATTGAAAAGCTAATTATAACCATTGAAATGCTAATTATAACCCTTGAACAGCCAATTAGATTAAGTTCTGTTTTGATAGTATAATAAAATCATTACAAATTATGTCTTCTTTCTAAAAATTATTTTTGTCTGAACAATTTATTTTTGAATTCCCCCTACCATAATAATGACACAATCATAGTTAATAAGATGAGATTCACATTAAGATTTTTAAAACCAGCTATGGTCTTGATGAATTCTCTCTTTTTGTAGCAATACTTAATTTAGAAGTTCATAATACAATTTTGAGACATATCCATATTCTATACCATAGGGTATGACTTAAGCTCCATACTCAAATTATTTCTATTTGATTAATTTCATTTGATTGTAGAGGATGAAGTGTATTCGTGCTTAGGACTTCAAGATCATGCTCTTATGCATATTATTTCTATTTAATTTTTAAGTTGATCATGAATATTAAATGATATCAATATCATTTATACTTGCATCTAATCTATTGCTAAGCAGAGACTTTTTATGTCTCTGTGCTAAGCAAGAATATTTCAGGAACAGGGATTTAGCTTTTGGGGTAGATTAAAAATTGCCTTGATGTCTGTCTTTATAGTTACTTCAGTCATCCAGATACGCTTTCACTCAAGTATGGATTTTACTGTATTGTATATCTAATGATAGGTACATGTACTTAAAATTTTAAGATTCTGCTTCCCTATCTGATTACTGAACCTGAGGGTATCTCTTCTGTAACTCAAACACAGATATTGATAAAGTTGGTTGCTGATCTTGAATTTAATCCAATAGTAATAATTAACATTTTTCGATTTGTAAATGATATTGAAGAAAAGACAGTCAATCCGGCTCTTGCCTAATCCAAAGCATAAATACAAGGATGTTGATGTTTCAAGATCATGTATTGGAAAAATTTTCAGTTTAATCTACTTAATTGTTGTAATAAGACTTCTTTGATATTGGAGAAGCAGTTATTTCGGCACTAGCTTAATCCAAATCATAAACAATAGGCAGGAAATACAATCTTTGATGTTTCATAATATGTATGTATTTTTAGTCAGAAACATTTTTTGTTGAGACAGGAGAAAAATAGAAAAATTCCACAGACTGTTTTGTTGTATTGTTCAGTAAAACTGAATGAATCAAGAAAGAGAAATTACAAGAATGACCAGGCCAAAAATGAATACACTTGATTCTCTTCAATAAAATAGAAATAATATCTCGATGAACATGAACTTAAAGTAATATTCAGTACCAAAAATGAATAAACCCTATTCTTTATAGAAGTAATATGCTTATGAGAATGAACTAATTTCTAGTGCCAAAAATTAATAAACCTTATTGTCTTCAATTAATAAGAAATAATATGCCAATAAACATGAACTTCCATATTTTGAAACATAATCATGCAGTCAATTCATTTGTATGTTCTTCATGTTTTTAATTGTCTCATTCTTAAACTAAATAATTTCCATTATGTGGTTGAAACTAGTTGCAACCATTTGGTAGAATGCAACTAAACAATCAATGGTTTGTAATGGTTGCAAATGATTCCATAATTTCAATGATATGCAACCCAAATTTTCAACCAAATTTTAATGGTTGAAATGTAATGGTTGGAAACCATTTCAAATGGTTGCAGCAATGGTTACGCAATGATTTTCAATGGTTACGCAATGGTTTTTAACGGTTGAAATTCGGAAAAAATGGTTGTTTTTTTTCTAAGGGTGCTGTAAATCGGTCTCTGGGTAGGAATCTTCTGGCCCAAAGGCCATTATACAAAGGCTTGGTGCTCCAATACCGGCTCAGAGTTGACACATCCACAAAGCCCATATATATTATAAGCGCAACAAAATGCTCCATCTCCGCTACTGTTACATCCTCCCACGACCCATCTTTATTTTGATATGTAGGCTTAGACATAACGTTTAGCCATGCATATATGTTTGTGTTATCGACAAGCTTCTGGAAAACCTCTTCACTGAAGAACATCTTAAAGAAAGCCAACGGAGTTGAATGTTCTGAGATTTCTCTTTGCGTCATTGCCCTGAATTGCATACCAGGGGGGCGGATTGGCCTAAATTGCATCACATGTGGTAGTTCATCTGCATCGTCATACGATTGGAGACCACCACCTGCCTGAGGAACCTCTTGATCACCATCAAACACATCCATACTATCATCACTGGAAGAATATAAAATAAAATTGTAAACTAGGGAATGGGCAAGTAAAAGTATAAATTCAACCCCCCCCCCCCCCCCCTCCAAACAATGTGAAATGTGACACCTGGGTGCAAATAACAAAGTGTGTACATGTGAGAAAATATGCAGTAAATTTTGTTAATAAGGATCTACTTCAAATATCCCGATAAATAGCTGTAAAATATCTGAAAACAATGACAACCCGAAAGATTTCACATATTATCGCCCACTTAAAAATGACAAGGCCAAACTTCGTTTTCCAGAAAATGACTGATAATTTTGCAATTTTACTAAATTAGGTCTGTTGTTGATTCAAGGAGCATATTAAGTCATATATCGTGTATAATGATCATTTATATCTCACTCTTAACAGGATTTCTATGGTATAAAAATATGAAGATAAAATTATAATTTTTGAAAAAAAAATTCGAAAAGTTTTAGTCAAGATACGCACCTGTTTTCACCACTATCAGAGTCTGATGCCCTTTCATCGACATCACCAGGTTGTAGTTGGATATCATCTTCACTGTCAGACTCAAGCTCAAACCCATTTACAAACAAATCCCTTGCTCTTTGAGCAGCTGATCTGCGAGGTCTTCCCGCCATATTGTTTATTTTGGAAACTGCCGATGAATCATGGGAAATTACGTCATCGGGCAGAATTGTCTTCAAAAATGAAAACTTTTTGAAACTCGCATAATTTGCTCGATTTCTCCGTCGGTAAGTAATAAAAAACAACAACAATAGTCTGTATATGTTTAGTAATATATTTTTTATTGATTTATAACATAAGTGATGTGGACAACTTCGGATATACACCAGAATAGCACTCAAATAACCATCGATCACCGGTGATCGATTTTCAATGTAACTGTAAGGAATGAGTTAACTGTCCCGCAATTGGCGTGTTTGTCCCTCGAACAGTCCTGCAAAATCCCGCGAATTTGATAAAAATTTGGCCTATTAGCGCAAACATGCAAATCCCTTAAAATAAATGTCCCGTAAAATCCTGCGTATTTAGGTGGATGACCCATACCCGCTAATTTATGGCACTGGGTCTCAAAAATCTGTGCCGCGAGAAAATCTTTGGAGGTTGAGAGTACTGCTTCAAATTAAACACATCACATAATAGATGCCGTAATACATATTGTAAAAAGTCTAACAATGACCCAGATTTTCACCTGAGACAAATGTTTTGTGAGGTTGATTTTTTTTGAAAAAAAATTTGAAAAAAAAATCAAATTCACCGTTCAAAATCTATTGATCACTTGGATATATTTCTAATGTTAGCCTTGTAGTGTGTATTAGTGCTTCGCTTGATTTTTCAATTGTAGAAATGAAACATTTACCTGCTTACAAAGTAAAATCAAAAATGTAAAAATTCTCTGGCACATTTTGTTAGAGGTCAAGGTCGTTGAACTTATCAAATCTCGCGAGAAAGGCCGTGAGTTGGCGAGAGTACAAGAACTGGTATTTTGGCAACGATTTCCTCAGAATTCAATAGTTTTCTACGGTATTTTACGATTATCTGATTACTAAACAATTGCATTCAACAAAAGGAATATACTTCAGAGAACCAAGAATGTGAGGAAACCCATATTCGGGTGACAGATCGACGCAGAAAGGTGTATATTGAAGTGAAAATCTGCTGTTTCAAGTAACCACGGGTTTCCTGTGGATTTATTTTTTGTGAATGAATTTTGTGTATGACAGTACAATAATTTGGATAAATGGGATTTGGATGCCTGGATAGTGGCTGATTTGGATTACAACATACTATTATAAAAGTTGGATTTATTTTACCCTGGGCGTGAACATCAAAGAGGACCATGACATCAAAAGTAGTTGATCGCATCGATCCATTCAGTAGCAAGACTTCGGTGAAGTCGAAGAAACAAAAAAGGTCTCAGGGATCGTCACATTACAGGACAATTGTGCAGTCAGAGCTACAAGCACTAGCTCTCCTTAAAGGTAAGCCTTTTTTCCTTGTGATCATCAAATTGAGAAATTCTGAAATATCGTTGTAAAGTGGCGCTTCCATACAAACTTTGATACTAAAGTAAAAATTGGAATACCTGACAAATTAGTAACTGGTATCACATAACTTGGATATATTTATTTAGAGGTTATTTCACTATTATGTGAAATATGCTTGAGTTTTGCCAATATAAGCAGTCACCTTGGGAGGCTTTATATTTGGGCAAGAACGAAGGCAAATTTCATATCAAAGTGATGTAACTGATATATTCCAAACCTTCATTCCCATGGCTACTTTGGATCAATGACGTCACATATCTATGTGCAAGTAGAATTTGATTGAAATGAAACATGATGTCATTGTATTATCATGGTGATTGAAGAAAGCGGGCACTATCGGTGTTAGCAGCCAATATCGGTAGAACTAAGCCTGCTTGCTTTCTTGTTGACGTCCATACAAATGCTTCGCTAAGTATGTAATACCATACATGTATCTACCGTGTCTTTGTGACAAAGAAAAGGAATTATTATGATACAGATTCTGGCACGTCTTTCTAAGTTTCATCTAAATGGATATGGGATAAGGGTTACTATATCACAAAATAGAGTCAAAATTGATTACTGCTAAAGAATATTTTTATGATAGTGTGGTACCACCTAAGGGAGCACATCAAAAGTTCAATGTTGCACAAAAAGCCATATATTATCAGTTAAGTCCCAGACACCCCCTCTCCCTGTTAATTATATATGGAAAATGTTGACATATACAATTTTAACAAAATATACATCACCATGTTCCTTGTTGATAAGTCTTTCATATTCATTAGATGGGGTTTTATATATAGGCTGTGCCACAATAGTGAAAAAGAAATTCAATATTTGAAAAACTCCGAATATTTTCAATATTGAGGCATGCAAAGAGGATTGTGGGATGAAAAATGGCTGATGCAATTCCCTGTGGATCGATGTTGGGAAGCTTATTTTTGGGTTTCAGACACCCCCCCCCCGCTAACTGATAATATATAGCTTATGCTTATTTGGCGACATTGATCTTTTGCATGCTTCCTAATCAAGTATGAAAATAGACTCACATCAACTCACCCCCCCCCCATTCTTATTTACTCTTAAGTGTTGTAACTCTAGTAAAAGACATACAATAGTAGAATCAATATTTATGTTACATTTAAATACATGAACTTTACTCTTATGGAGCTTGTGTTGTTACTCTTTGCATTCGTTTGACTTCACTTCTTAAAAGAGAGCTTCGTCTTCACTCTTTCAAACTAAAATAAACCTGTGAACTCACCGCGCCAATCAGTGTTGGTCGGCCAAATTTGACCGACGTTCTATATATGGCCATTCCTTCTGACGTCATCGTTGAGCCCGGAATTGACCAATGACATGCGCATATTTAATTAGAACGCATTTGGCATATGTTTATTTATGTGTGATTTATTACCCAAACTGTCACCGGTACCCTTTGTGGGGGTGGGGCTACTAAACTGTAATATGGTCTCTACTAGGCAGAGTGTAGTTTAACTAGACTCTGCACGCAGGGTAGTTGTTACAATAATTAGGGATTAAACATCCACATTTTAGATATCTCCATCTGATATGTTTGGCAAGATATATTTGGTTGGGATCCAGATCAAATAAGCCATGTTACTCGTCATATACCAAGTATTACTAAGGAGGATGGATCAGATTTCGTCAATGTCTTATTTTTAGGGGGTTTTAAATGGCAAGAGTGGTATTTTCAATACAGTCATTTCGATTTCCTAAATGCATATTTATTACATTGTATCCCAGACTGACAAAATTTAACAACTACTTATAAGACTTTGGCCTTGTATGCAAATGGATAAATACATATACATCCACTTGAAACAATTCTAGTTTTGTACAAGCCGTGATTTAATGTGGTTTATTTAAATGTTTCAACAAGTCAATGTTATGGATATAATCATACATAATACAGTAAAAACAGTCTAATCTAAACACTACTAGGACCAACCAAAAGTGTTTGGATAACCGGGTGTTTACATTCCAAGGTGTTTACATTTACAATGTAGTGAATTAGAGTTTGTAAAATTGGTACAAGGAAAAGTTGTTCACATTTGGAGTTGTTCAGATTAGATGGGTGTTCCTAAATACAGGTTTTATTGTAATAAGTTAAGATGAATCAATGGGTCCAATAGTTCATAGTGGCATAATTGGATATTCAGCTTAACATATGCCTTTACCTTGCCTATACTATGTCTAAACATTTTCTCTAGCTATTTTTATCCCACATTATTTTGTGCTACTATATTCATATGAAGTACTTCTGTATATTAAGTAGACTGTGTGTTTTACTAAATGAACAAATGCATTTTACTCATTTTTTGCTTTTGCTTTAGGATTTGAAAATCAGACCAAATTGTGTGTTATCTTTCATATGTAGTAACATGAAGTATGTATATATACATGTACATGAATAAGCCCTTGCTCTGTAGGTGAAATTCCTATACTGATAAGTGTCTTATCTTTTTATGGTCTTAATCTAGAGGTCTTTAAACACAGAATAACACATGATGCTATGTTATCAAAACTAGATGCAAACTCGGTAAGCAGTTCTTGACTAGATTCATACAGACTTATAATACTGTGTATACTCTTTAAATGTCCTTCTAGACAATGATGCAACAGAGAGAGATGCTATGAGTATCAGAATGCTATTCTACATAGATATATCTAGAGTATATTGATTTTTCCTTACCCTTTGAGCCCAGATATAAGCAGTAACTGATTCTACCCTCTGAGTAGGGGCCTTGTTTTGAGAGGTGAGGCCAAACTTTTGAGAAGGGTATATTTTTTCGTGTTGATTATTTTACCAATTCCTATAAGATAAGTAGTACAAAATAGAGAATCTAAAATATCAGAAACCATATTTTTCTTGGTATCACAGTCCTTTCCCTTAATCCTAAAATAAGATGGATGATGGAGGGGTGCATGAACTCAAGACTAGTCTTTACTGGACTTTTATATATTGCCCTGTTTTTTTGCTGTTTTGTGTGTGAATGCAAAATGGATTATAACTTTGTAGAAAAATGAAACAAGGAAAATGTTATGCCTTGGTCACATTTGCCGATTGAGTATTTTGTTCAAAATCGAAACAAAACACTCAATCGGGCGGACGCCTGCCGATGGAATGGATCGGAGCAAATGTGACCCGGGCATTAGACACTTTAGAATACAATGATCATATTTATTAGAGCTGGCATCGAATAGGATTTTAATGTCGACATGTCGGTGCTCTCGATCGACAACGATATCGACATTGTCGGGTCCAATGATATTCGAAAAATGAAAAAAAATTTGAAGAAAATCCGTCTGAATTTTAGATTTTCTAGGCTTGTAATTAGCAATACGATGCACAATAGTCATCCTCACTTGTATGTTTTATATTTAACTTACATGTAAACCATGTTTAAGTATCAGACTTTGACGAAAAAGCAATAAATAGACATAAAACTACGATTTCTGTTGTTATTTCCGGGCAGCCATTGAAAATAAATCTCGAGGGTAAATCTCAAGGGGCCCCGAGACCTAATTCGAGAGCAGGAAGTCGATCAAAACAAAAAAAATTTGAAAATGTAGGCGGTAAAACTTAACTAAAATACTCCATACAGCAGTTAGTAACAAAGATTTTAATTCATAGGGAAATAGCTTATTATGTTGTGAGTTCCGACTGTGGATCAAGAGGCGTTGTGTCGACATGGGTGTCGCAGAGAGCATTCGACTGACAATCGACCATTCCGACATTTGATGCCAGCTCTAAGATTTATTTTCATAATATTATGTGGAAAGAATGTATTTGTATTTACAGACAGACATGCCTTTTATTTCAAATATTTAGTTAATGTGCAATGAATCTGTGACATTGTTAGTTTGATAGTTTTAGCCATGTTAGTTTGGAGGCCTTGCTTCAAAAATATAATGGCAAGAAGCATCACCAGATACAAGAGGCCACACATTTCATAGCCAAACCACAAAATATACAAAAGTTTGGTGTCAAACATATGTTTTAAGTTTTTCATCAATATTACAAGGTGGTCTATTGATTGCTTATTCTTATAAAAACAAATCAGCAAAAAATATTGTATATCTGATTATTTCCTGCTAAGTTCTCATACTAGTTAAATTCATTATTAATTATTACAAAGCAGTGATTTTGAGTTACCCTGGGGCCTAGATGTTAGTAGTTATTCCTACCCTTTGAATAAGACTTTTAAAACTCCCAAAGTAGCTGCCATGGTCTTTAATGCAAGTTTAGATATGAAATGCCTGCTTCTTATGAAAGGATGAAATACTGTGACTGCAATTTTGATTGGATAACCAGGTTTTGATTGATCAATTATGATTGGATAGCGAGGTCTTGATTGACCAATTCCAATTGGATAACTGGAAATCATCATATTGCAATTACATAAAACAATAGATGTAATTTTACCCAAAAATCTGGCAAGAACACTGAAACTTTTAAGAAAGTAAAATCAGACTACATCATATTGAAAGGATAAGTGTTGTAATTATACTGCAGTTTGAATGAGAAATATTATAACACAAGAAAAAACAATTGCAGTAAAAATATGATGGATCATGAATCATGACTGCCTGAAATTGTGAAAGCAGAATTATGAAATTAATTGTACCAATAGAAACCAGGTATATGTGCACAATTATAGACTTGAAGTATTGTATATTGAAATTAATGGTACCAGTAGAAACCAGAAATTAATTGTACCAATAGAAACCAGGTATATGTGTGCAATTATAAACTTGAAGTATTGTATATTGAAATTAATTGTACCAAAGAAACCAGGTATATGTGCACAATTATAGACTTGAAGTATTGTCTAGTCTTACTTGAATGTTAAAGACATGTGTTTCTCCTTCAACATATCCTGAACATAAGGTCAGGAAACTGCAGTAAAACTTGTATATCCCAACAA